AAAAACAACAACATTGGAATATTACATAGCTTGAAAGCTTGCAAAGGTTATTTGTGTCTTAGTTATTTTTGCATTTACTGAAACATCAGAAGCCAGCTTTGAGTACTGTATCTCATATTCTGTTCAGTAACAAAGAAACAATCATTAGTACCCTAAGTCTTCAAATTTCACACAAATCCTTATGAAGTCATTCAGAAAGAGAAAGTCAACCCTAACAATAAAAATTAGTGACTCTGGTGAAGTTTTTAATAGAACGTAAGTAAAATGGAGATATTTAGATTTCATTTCTTAGGTAATAACATTAGCATATTTTAGTGATTCAGTATAGTGAAGATTGGGTGATACGTCTGTGTATTCTGCTTGTGAGATATTACTTGATTCAATGTGAATATAAATAGAATGAATCTACTCATCTTCTCATAATTGATGATACAAGTGACATAAACACTACTTACTACTTGACAATATTTTTCAATATTTCCACATGCGGGAGTCCCTTTGTTTTCAGCAATTTGGGATATCATAGGACAAATCTTTTGTTCCATTGTACCTGACACGCTGATGAACAGCATGTAGAACAGGAAAAGATGCACAAGTAAGAGAAAGTCATTTTAATATATTTCTACAGAGTAACAAACTGAATTTTAAAAATCTTCCTTGGAAAATAATCTCATTTTTAAAAGCTGTCAATTAAAAAAAATTAAGACAGCATATGAAGTCATGAATAAATTTGGAAACTAAGTCATCACAAAGCATTATTCATAATTTTTAAACCCTATTATTCAAACTGACCTGCAAATAAAATGACTAGAACTTTGATGGGACTATAATGTGGTTTTAAACCTGGAAAGAAATTAGGACCATTGGTTATGTATGAAATGCTCGTGTATTTTGGGACTTTAGCTATTTGTAACATGAATCAAAATTAACCAATTATAAACATTCTAAATTCCTAATTTTAGTTCTCTAAAAGAGGCAATATTGAACACATAGGAATTCTGGTTTTCAAAGGTGTTAAAAAGCGATTACTATTTTAGATGTTTAAAATCAACAATTCCATAATAAGAGCATCAAGTATATATATGGGCATAGGATAAATCAGACCCCTTAAAACCAAATAATTTTGCTCTTATTTAACAAGTCATTATGACTGACTTTCTCTTTAAACTCTTCACTATGAATGAAGACCACACCATATACACACCACTAAGAAATAATTTTAACACATGGACAGACAAGACAGTAACAGTCTAGTGACTTTTGTTATGCAGCACAAAAAGACAAAACTAAACCCAAACAAATAAACAAAAACTTAGCAGTGTTGCACATGACCTCAACATTTTGTACACATACCACACTTTCCTTTCCAAGACCCTTAGTTTAAAATTCTGAGAATTCTGTTTCTAAGCCTTTTAAATAAATGCTTGAAAAATGCATAAATTAAATGTTGAGGAAATGTATTGAGGCAATCTGAGCCTTAATTTGAGAGACATGTCAATGAAACATCCATTATCAATAACAACTTGTTATGATGATTGCTTATTTTCTTAGGACCTTTGAAACAAAATAAACAGAAATCAATTTTCAACTTGAAAATGGTTTACTACTTTGCCATTACTAATACTTTTCTGCTGACAGATAACTACACAATGTGCTTTCCTGGGAAACTGCTACCAGTTTCAAATCTCCATAAAATTTTAGTTTCACAGGAAATGCAGAGATGGACAAAGGAACTATGAGTATGTTTGGCCAAGTTATGCAGCACTATGTTAGTATTTACTTATAGAAACAATTTACAAAGAATGCATGTCTTTATTATTTTAAAAGAAGAAATAAAGGCCATGTAAAAAGCAACAAAACAAAGGTTTGAGTTTCGTTTTAAAGGGGCATTGTGAATACTTTTGGTCACTTATTATTTTGCCCAATGATACTATATGATTCTCAGTAAAGGAAGTATTTGGAAATAACATCAATAGCTTTCTTCAAATATAATATTGCTGATTCAATCTATTGATCAATAAATACAGATCAATATACATGTATTCAATTATTTTCCATATATACAAACAAGCTTGGATCTTGTTTTAAACAAATAACAAGAAGAATTTCAATTGAAAAAAAAAAAAAAAAAACCAGCAACAAACAAACAAAGAAAAAAATTTATTCGGGCAATATAAAACATAAAGAATAGAGTAGAACCAAAATAAAAATAAATCAATAATCTTTGATTAAAAAAGAATAATATCAATACTGTGTATTACAGATTCAACTTCAAAATTCTGTTATAAACACTGAGAATGTTTGGTAGGCACAATGAAACAATTAGTGTGACATAGAGTCGTTACTGAAGGAGAAAGAAACAACTTATTGCTAATATGTATTTTTTATAAGAATTGGTTGAGTATTGACTAAGAAAGCTCTATCAGCTTTTGTTTCTGTTTAATAATGATGAGATTTGTGATTACCTTTGCTATAAAAGAATGCTTCTATCTTTACCCAGCATATTTCAACCAGTGTGAATCACTAAGAAAACAATGCAAAAAGTAAAACCCAGTTAATAGTATGTTACTAAAGAAATTTAAACAATAAAAATCAAATTGAAGCATTGACGAGGCAGGCTTAGACCTCCTAAAAGACAGTGGCCTACCATAAACTGAGCACTTTTTCATGAAAAAAACAAAACAAAACAAAACTCCATTCATTTTCCTACAGATTTTGCACAGTTCATTCCATGGAGATACATTTGGGGAAATAGGTGGGTTCTGGGATGCGTGGCCTTCTCAATCCTCCTCTGTACAGCCCAAGAGCTCTGACCGAAGCGTAATCCTCCCATACCAAGACCAGGGAAGGATTCTTATGTGCCGTGCATAGATGGGCGGGTCGATGACGTTTTTTCTGTGCGTGTCATTGTCAAAGTTTCCCTGGAAAACCTAATAAAGAAAAACAAAGAACACTAATCATATATCCTTCTTTTTCTTTGGAATTCTTTTTATTATTTCCTGTTGGGAAAATTTTCACCAAACTATTCACTTTTATCTTCTTCAAAATATGTTGTAACTTCTTTTTAATAATCTTTTAAATAGTAAGTGGTAAATCATTGTATTTAAAGAGCAAAGTTATCATTTGAAAACTAAGGTGAATTTGTCCCAGGCTATGGTACTTTCAAGAGCCTCATATGTATGTGAAAGTTGGACACTGAATATAGAAGACCATATAAGAATCAGTGGATTTGAGTTATGATGCTGGAGAAGACTATTAAAAGTACTATGGGCTATCATAAGAAGAAACAAATCTATCTTGGAAGAAGTATTGCCACAATGCTCCTTTGAAGCCAAGATGATGAGACTTCATCTATAATACGTTGCAAATGTTATCAGGAGGGACCAGTACCTAGAGAAGGACATTATTCTTGGTGAAGTGTAGGGTCAGATAAAAAAAGGAAGACTACCAATGAGATAGACTGGCACAGTGGCAGCAGCAATGGGCTCTGTCGTAACAATAATTGTAAAGATGGTGCAGGACTGGGCAGTGTTTAGTTCTGTTGTATATAGGGTGACTATGACTTGGAATCGACTTGATGGTATCTAACAACAACACATCAGTATTTAAAGAGTTAAGACAAGAATCAATTGTCTGATGGTACAGTGGTTAAAGTGCTCAGTTACTAACCAAAAGTTTGTGGTTGGAACCCACCAGTCTTGCCACAGGAGAAAAATGTGGCAGTCTGCTTCTGTAGATATTTACAGCCTTAGAAATCCTATGGGGACAGTTTCACTCTATCTTATAAGTTACTATGAACCCAAATTAACTCAATGGCAGTGGTTTCTTGTTTGTTTTGTGGGGGGCTATTTTTGGTATAGTTCAATACTTTTTTTTTTTTTTTTCTTCTTCTCCTTCTTTCAATTTAACTAATAGGTTTTTTTCTTTCTTTCTTTCTGTCACAGCCTGATGTTGGCCAGGCAGTTTGCTGAACATATTTTCTTCCAAGGAGTGACTTGCACCTTGCAAATCACAAGTCATCATGCGGTCACCATGTTCACTATGGCAAAGGAAGAGAGGGTTGGTGGGCTGTGTAGGTAGTGTTAAAGGACAAACTATGGAAGCAGTTGAAATTAATTCTATAATAATTTAATCTTATAATATTTACAATTTTTAATATTTACTCTTAACCTGGAGATTTCACCATTGTCTTCCTATAAAATTTTAATATTTCTTATTAAATATATATCTAACTATTTTCTATTTGCATTTTTATTTTGGTTCAACGAAAACAGTGAAGAGTCCTGGTGTGGCACTGTAGGGTAAGTACTGGACTTCTAAAAACAAAGTTGATGGTTTGAACCCACCAGTAGGTCTCAGAAACCCTATACAGTGTTGCTATGAGGCAGAATTGACTCAACAGCACATAACAACAGCAACAAAAACAGTGAAAATCTCTTCAAAATGTCCCCTTTTAAGTTTATGAGGCATCATATAGCTGGAAAATAATTAGAAAATGAAATCCCCCTATATGAAATAAATAAATAAAAACAGAAACTCTATCATCATATGGCCAAATACTTAACTCACATTTTTAAACATTGTGAAATTAAAGGGAATATTTTAAAAGTCTTTCTGAACAAGCTGGTTTGGTTTCATACAATCATAAAAAGTTCCCTGAAAATAGAAAAATAAAGATAGTCTCCTCTAAAGTATTAGAGACTGTGGCACTGATTAATAGAAGCCATAGACTAGGTAGAATAATTTTTCTGCTGGTTCCTCAGAAAGATTATTTGCAGTTTAGGGCAAATGAAAAGTATCATCCCCATCTGGTGGGAAATCATTTTTCAACTTGACACAAAACATATCTCAAAGCAATTTCTGAATAAATATTTGCCATGAAGGGAATACTAAGCTGTGTTAAGTCTAGCACTCATCTTGTCATATCTGAATCCATGTTCATTTAAGAAGAATTTATTCTTCAGCAATGCTTTGGCCTGTAATGGCCAAGGAGGGACTGATTTTAGGTTGAAATGTGTTACTAAGTAACAATGTCTATGATATCAAAAGCTCATATGTAAATCACATAGGCATACTGTGCAAACATTTATTAAAAATTTTGAGAATTGCCATTGTGACAGGAAAAAATAATAGAGTGAATGCTATGCTTTCCTGACATTCTCTCTGACATACGATGCTGAATTCAAATGCTTCACTGAGATTGCAGTATTACACTCGTAATTTAATATAGAATCTAAAATCCAATTTTGTAGCCCTGCTATAGAATTGAATGAAACTACATCTGGACTGAAATTGCACACTATGAAATTTCTGGTTTAATGTTGAAAGTCATAGATATTTGGATGTTATTTTAAAAATCAATGAAGTTTTATCAGACAAGGTGATTTTAAAAACAAAAATGTTAACAAAGAAACAGTCAAAATCTATATTGGCATCACACAAATCCTCATTGGAAAGAACTGAAAAAATATTTTTTTATTTTCAGAGGTCTTTCTGTAATGACAGTAGAGAACAAAAAGTACATCATTGCTAATTCCAGCATAAATCTGGTATTTGTTGTGCAAACATGTGGTCTATGTGCTATTTTCTCATCCCCCAAACTTGGAAGACCCTGGTTAAGAATTCTATTTCTATGTTTTACCTGGCAAGGAATTGCAGACTCAGTATTTTTAGTTAACTTTATAAAACTGGTAAGATTTCTGGAAAAGTGCTTTTATGTGCTCACTTCAGAGTAATGAACACCTCATCTGCAATCCAAATCTAAGAAGACTGGTTGGTGTTGTGTATTGTTAGATGACTTAATTGACTGTCCCATGTGTGCTGACCTCACACCCTTAAGGAGTAAAGGGCAAAGATAAAAATCCACTTCCCTAGGGCAGTGTGTATATGTGTGTGCGCACGCATATTTGTATGCCTATGTTTGTGAATGTGTTTGTTGGCTGAAAACTTAATCTTTTATTTGCATATAAAATTTCCTTCAAAATGCTTATAAAGAAGTTGTTAAGAATAGTGTATCCTGTTTCTTTTAGTAATAGTACTGAATTGATAACCGCAAGGTCGAAAGTGCAAACCCATTGACTACTCTCAGCAACACAGGTTTGCTATGTGTCACAAGTAACTCGATGGCATACAACAACAACAACAATAACACATATTTAATCAAAGACTCTGAGCCTTGGAAGAGAACTCAGAGATTGTCTAGTACCAGATTCCATTTCTAACTTTCCTGATGTGGAACTTTAAATCTTTTCATGGAAAGCCTTGATAAAACAGTGTTGTATTTATGCAGTTGTTATTTATGTATAAAACAGTGTTGTATTTATGCAGTGTTATTTATGCAATAATCCATCTATTGATTTTAGTGCTTTCTTCTCAACAACAAGTGCAGCTCATTAAAATAAAATAAATGAAACACACACTATTTAACACATTTAGCAATGGCTAAGATCATCTTCTCAAAAAAATAACAGATTCAAGTCATCAAATGAAATATTCTTTAATTGTTCCCCCTTTTTAAATATTTTCTTGTTTTCCGGTGAAAGTTTATACCGTGAATTAGGTTCCCATTTAACATTGTATATATAATTGTTCCTTGACATTGGTTATTATTGTCACAATGTGTCATCAGTGATTTCCATTCTGTTAGTTCTTTGTCTGTTGATTAATTAAACAATTAACTATGTGAGACTTAACAGTCAACATTTACTCAAAAGCAAAGGTGAGAAGGCCAAGAGGGTGCTAGCATTCATTTCCCTCTGCCTTCTTCATCTTTTTTCAGGGATAAACGTTTGGTCTCACATAGTTGATTGTTTAAGGGACACATTGTTGTTAAGTGCTATCCAGTTTGTTCCAACTTTTAGCCACCCATATATGGTTTTCAAGGCCCGACTGGTGGGTTTGAATTGCTGATCTTGCATTTAGAATCTAGTACAGTGCAATACCAGGCTTCAAGGGTAATGCAATATTGTTTATTTTATAATCCAAACTATTATTTGAACTGAAAGATGACCTCTGGAAGTAGTTTTATTCTTGGCTAAAAGGGTAAGGAGCTCTGGTAGTGTAGTGGTTATGAATCGGGTTGCGAACCTCAAGGTCAGCAATTCGAAACTACCAGCTGCTCCACGGGAGAAAGATGAGGCTTTCTGCTCCCATAAAGATTTACAGCCTTGGAAACCCTGTACAGGGTCACTATGGGTCAGAACCAACTCGATGGCACTTAACAACAACAACAACAAAAGGGTTTCTTAGGACAACTGTCTCTGGGGTGTTTCTCCTGTCTCTACTGATTCAGTAAGTCTGGTCTTTAATATAAATATGTATTTTGTCCTATGTTTATCTTCCATTCTAACTGGAACCTTCTAGTGTATCGCTGGTCAGACAGTCAATAGTGGTACCTGGGCTTCATATTCTGGTCCTTGGGTAGAAGAGGCTGAGTTTCATATGGGATAGTAGTACTGTGGACTAGTTTCTTCCTTGAGTCTTTGGTTTCTTTCCTTATCTTTTACTCCAGGTAAGTAGAGACAAATAGTTACATATTAGATGGGTACTTTCAAGCTTTTAAGAACCCATGTGCTATTCACTAAAAGAAGATGTAGAACATCAACTTGGTGAATTATGTTACACAAATTGACTGTTATCCTGTGAGATAACAGTCTAAGTCCTTCACCCTGGTAAACCAATTCTACAAGTTGATTAAATAAGTCTCTATAATTTCGCCACTTATGTGCTTTACTATATGTATGATGGTGTGGTGCTGCAGGATAATGCACTGGACCACAAGGTCAGTGGTTCAAACTCATCAGCCACTCAGAAACCCTATACATGGTTTCTATGAGTCATAATATATATATATAATTTTGTTGTTGTTGTTGTTGAGTTGATGATATTTTCTATATATCTTAGACATTAGATCCTTGTCAAATAGGTTGTG